GTTGTAGAAAAAGCCCTGTCTCCGACACTGGCCAGCCGAGTCCGGGGAACAACTAGGGTATTACTTATTGACCTCAGACCCGGCCAGACAGAGCGGAGTTGCAGCATGTTTGCAAGATAAAGGGGACTAGAGCCGTGGAGTGTCTATATTGTGCTCGATCGAGTTCTGCTGTCTTGGCCCAAGACTAGCACGAGATAAGTGCATGGGTATGTCCCTTGTAGTCTGCAGACTTGATACGTCAATAATAATCTCAAAGCCACGTCCTTTGGCCGGAAGCCGCTTACATTGTATTACATTTTCGCCGGACTTGAGAAGTTTTGGGCTTTTCTTAGTGACAGTTCCCACGCTTAAGACCTGCACCTTGGTTGGCTTGCAGTCACAGCAAGATGGCTCCTTGTGGAATAACTGAAACCTTTTTTTTGTTGGCTTTTGTGTCCATAGCTATTTGGACAAACTTTCAGACGTAAGGTTTTTTGCCTTTTGGTTGTAAAATTTCATTGCTGATTGACACCTGGGAATAAATCGAGAGGAGTCAAGCCACAATCGCCTTGAGTCCAGTTTTTTTCTGGGTTTGCGTCTCTTATCCCCTTGATTAGTGGACGGATCTCCACCCTCCTGACAACTGACCGGACTGCTACAGTATAGTATCGTTGTGTCGTGTTTAAGCTAATGTGCACACGTTCAAAGTGGCTTAAAGTTTGGAAGGACCAGTTTGTTTGCCATTACTAAGGATCTCAGAAATTCACCATTGTCTCCTCGCACCCCGACTTCTCCTCAGCAGCTTTATTCTTTATACGTAGGCTATCCAAAGTTTTCATCAATACGCTTGTATTTCCTTCTTCCCCAACTGTGCTACTTGTGAAAGACTCAATGAATTGAAATATTAACTTGGAATGTAATTGGCAAGAAACGAATTCAATTTTATTCCATAAGCCTATCCTTCAAAAGAAACAAAACATTATATTTACAGACAGCTGCATTTGGAGTTAGGAGTTATAAATACAAATATTATAGAAATATTACATGGTTTGAGGGTGGAGAGTCGATTTTATCCCCCTTGGTATTTGGAAGTTGACAAGCTAGTTCTTGAGATGAAAACTTCTGTTAACGTACCTCAGACATATTCAGTTACCACTAAAAGTTCAAGTGCCGACGTCTGTTCATCATGTTGTTTGCATATAGGCGCTGCTGTGGCTGTGCTTCCGCGCGCGTTCTTCACCGTGCTACAGTTCCATCTTGAATTGTTTGGCCCTAGTACACCGTACCAACAGAGTTGATTTGCACGGGATTCTCACGTGTGTTCCCACTGAACAGGAAAAAACTACGAACTGACACGTAATGGTGAATGGACCAATGAGAATTCGGCTTTTCGTCACGTATATGAATGAAGTACAGTATTTATAAATTAATGATTTTGGCCGTCCAAAGATTCGATCACTAGAGAAAATCACGTAATTTATCTATAGATAAGAATGATTGGTCTACTAAACCATTCACACTTGAGACTTTCTTGTCTCCCCACCGGTGGCGTAAATCTGTGCCGGAAAACAGGGAATGGAGAATCGTCGGGGAAGACTTGCCTTGCCATAGAAATTGAAAGGCGAAAATGCTGACACAAAGGGGCGATGTTCATAATACAGATTTACATTTGTAATACTTGTATTTACTAAACTGATGTAGAATTTTACATAAGAACGGCATACGTATATTTATGGCTTTTACACTGTTCTCCATTTCTGATTGATATTGAATACTTTTTGGTCGTTGGGAGTGGTAGAAATTCTTCAAAATTCTCTTTATTTTTCCCGCCAAGAAAATAATTGTTCAATAAACCAACCTCTGGTCAAAAAGTGGGCGATATGCCCCCATCCCGGGGATTTACGCTCACGCTCCACACTACAGTTGTAGTACTTTAATGTTGAAAATGCCTTATTTAGAAGCGTGGATGCCAGTGACTAGTTTTGTATTCAAAAAGCGCAAGATTTTCCCCCAAAGAAAGAAATTACTCGGAAGGCTGCACACAACAACAGGCAAAGATACAGGCAACTATTTTTGAGGGTTTATTCATTTGTTCCTCCTGCCTCTGAGGTCTTTTCTTCATCGCCCCTTTCCTCCGACTGTTCTCAGTATTCGCCCCTTTTTCTTTTTTGCGGTGACGATTTCCAAAAAACCTCGCTGTGGTGAGATTCTTTCTCTCGGTTGTTACTTTGACTTTGTCATAATCTGGTCAAAATAATAAAACGATGTAAATAGGAATGTTGTAACATCTATCGGATAGGTCTAATGTGCATTGAGTTACCTAGTACCTGTATTAACTACTATGGGCATCGCTACTATTATTTTCTGGGGGAAAAGCAAACCACATATCAATAGCAAACTGGCAAACTTCCAATGGGCCAATTCATTGGTGTCATTCAAATTGCTGGTAATTTTCATCTCCTCTTTGCTCATTTTTATTTCCTTTCCTTTTTCTCGAAGAATGGGAAACAGCGCCCTATCCCCCCCCGACACCCTTGCTAACTTCCAGTCCCACTGCTTGTTGCTGCCATCGTTGTCCCCATCCTTGCCTAAATTGATGCGCTTTTTTTCTTCAAAGTTAAAAAATGTAATAATTTATTTTCAATTTATTCTTATTTACGGTCAATGGGCATTTTTGCTTTTTACCTCCACCATCTTTTATATAGTTTATTACATACTCAATTACGAAACAAAATTACTTTTACCAATTTCGATGTCAACCATCTTGTCATCGACGGTTGGCTGTTCAGTCTCGTCTGCTCGGCATCCCCAAACTCTCGATGCCATGGCTACATCATCATTGTCTTTTGTTTCCTTGTCAACGTTCATCCTTACTGCATCCTTATGATTTGTGCTAGCAACAGGAAATGTCTGTTTGCACGGCATTCCTTGCCCTAAGAAAGTGTATTGACAAACGCTTTGAGTAAGTCATGTACTTGGTTTGGTCTGGTCAGGTTTGGAATGGGATTGGTTGTGTTTGGGCTGGGTTGTGTTTGGGCTGGGTTGGGTTGCAGTACTGTGTATATGGCCGCCAGGTCATAATGCGTGTCAACGCGTTTGAAAGTAGTCGATGACATATCAATTTACACTACCAATGTACACTCGTAATTAAACAACACTCCTTGAATAGAGAAAATCACTGCGCTTGCTTGCTAGCTTCCTCGTCAACATTTAAGTGGGCCCATTGTGAGTGTCCAGAAGAAGCTTTAATTGATTTTCTGTAAAACTAAATATCGTGGGAAAGTATTTACTTCTTAACAAACCCTAAAAAAGTAAATTTGTAGATTTCATTTTTAATTTACGTATTTTTTTTTAATATTTCAACAATTGTTGTCAGATAATTTCTGCTCATTGGCAACGAGAGCCTCGCATCATTTCTTGTCACAAAGGTCTAAGCAAAGCAAATTGCAGCGTCGTACACTGCATGTGCCACTGCCAAAAAGTGCTGTCAGTACGTGGTCTCCTACCTCCATTTTCAGCGGGTACGTACTCTTCTGTGCCCTCCTCAGTATCCTCTCGCCCATGGTCACCTTCTTTGCCTCCCCTCTCCATGCATATCGCAGCGAATGCACCCTTCTCGACTGAGCTCACCTGCTGCTGCACCACATTGTTGGCTACACCTATCTGACTCACTCTTCACAGTGCAAAATCATGCTGTCTAACTCCGGCCTCACAGCTCCCTCCAATGTGAATTGCATTAAGAATGGTATGATTCATGTCCAATTTTGTTGACTGCTCAACGAATTTGAAATGAGCAATTTTCTGAGGGCACGTGACTCGAGTGAACTTTGCAAGGGAATCGCAGATCTCAACGTACCTTACGGTATCCGTCGCGCTCCCTTGTTATCTTCTTGTTAATTCATCTTTGCGTGTCCTTAAATACTCGTGTACCCGCACTCATTGCTTCCACTTGACTCGTCTCCTAGCAACGGATCTCACACGAACCCCCCCCCATGACTCATTCGCCAAAACACAGTTTTGTGATGTGTTTCATTCATCAATGCATTTATTTCTGGAGATTTATTTCCTGCACTTACGACTTATTTTCGATCATTTCCATATTTTATTCGTTCCCTCGGGTATCTTAAAATATGTTTTACGGTGCATCGGAACCCAAAGAAAAGCAAAACTCTGTTGCTAGATTGATCATCTCATCAATAAATCTCCTTTTCTAGTTGTCTCTTTCCTTTCTTAACATTGTCTCGCCCCATTTGTCATTGCCAGGTGTCTGCTTCGTCTTATTGCTCTCTTCCGATACCAGTATGATACTCGTCTGTTGTTTAAACAATACTGCTCCAGTGAATGAGAGGTTGCACGGCAACTGAGTAGGTCAGTTTCAATTTCATACTCCGAAAAATCATATTTCGTTTGGCTCAGATGTTACCTGAAATGGATTTGAGCCATAAAAATCACATTCGTTCTCACTCACCTAGACCCGTGAGAAACATGGATTCATAGGAAGCGTTTTCGCGAAGTCTTCACTGTTTGAGAGGGCTGTAGTGGGGCCGAGGATACGGGCTAGTCCAGTAGACTGGCCCCAGTCTGGAGCTAGAAAAAATATATATCTCGTAAATACAAAATTGGAAAAAATATAGCTAGTAAGAAAAAAAATTGGAAAATATACATCTTGTAAAAACAAGTATTTCCAAAATAGAAACAATTTTTCTAAAAACAGACCACAGAGAACGATCTAAAAAAAATATCTCGTAAAAACTAACTTGGGTAGAAATATATCTCGTTAAAACAAATGTTTCCAAAAATGAAAACAATGTTTCTAAAAATGGATCACAGAGAACAGTCTCAAAAATTCATCCCGTACAAATAAACTCGGAAATAATGAATCTCTTACAAACAAACCTTGAAAAATACATTTCGTAGAAATAAATTTTGGAAAATGTATCTCGTAAAAACAAACTAGGGAAAAATACACGTAACTTTTTAAAATATATACACTTAATGCCACTCCGGGGATTTCGTATCATGTCAGGGAACCAGACTATGGTAGGTTGGTGCACTTTGAGAAACAGTAGCAGCCGATGAGATCTTTGTACATGTACTACCCCGTGACACTGACGTAAACACAGGAGGTGGGGAGACCTTGCTCGTGCACTCTCTGCCGATGCAATCTCTTCGTGTAGTACTAGTGTAGTTCTCGGCCGGTTGAGACTGCCAATTATTAAAGATCTAATTGTAGAATTGGGGTACATTGTTAGGAGACAGTCTGGATTATTTATGGAGTGTTGGATCATATCGGGGGGCCCTGCTGAACCACTCATTTGAGGAATCAGCGAAGTGAGACTTGCATGATGTTTGTTCCATGCCTGTCTGGGTAGTTGTGGTTGACTGCACCGTTGGTCTGTTAGCTTGCTTTCCTCGTTGAGGTTTACTGGGTGTAGCTTCTGCAGGGTCCTAAGAAGGTTATTATAATTGCCTTTTTAATCGGCCCCGTGTTATTCTGTACATAAGAGCAACATGAAGTGTGGGAGGATTACCCTCATTATTGTGAGGACTTCTGCTTTTGCTTACGACCCAATCGTACAGCTTTGTATAGCCACATTGCTAACCAAGAAGTTAATATTATTACTGTATAAATCTACTTTGTTATTGTAGTCATCGTGAGGATTGGCTTGGTTGCTGTGACGGTTACTCTGGTTGCTGTGAGGGTTATCCTGGTTTAGTTGTCAGTCGGGACCCATTAGTTGGCCTCCTTCTGTTCGTAATTATCGATTTGCGTATAGCCAGTTATTTCCCTGACGCCCTCGCACGTTTCCAAGCGGGCGTCCATTTTCCGTGTTAACTGGAAATGTATCTATTTTTGATAAGAATGCTTTATTTGGCCTAATTCAAGGTGATTTCAGATCTTGATACGAGTTGATGACAAGTTGTGAGGTCTTTAAACGTGTCCCCTTTAATGTAGACTTTTGGAATATATTTTGATAAAATACGTTTAATTAACAGTTTTGAGAATTTGTTGGTTATTACCTTTTACATTTAGCCATGTTTACTGATTGATATTTTACAAGTTGCTCTTGTTTCATCAATAAATGCAGTTTTAGACAACAATAATTAATTGAGAATTAGTTCCTTATACATGTAATTTGTAAAAATGCCACGAAAGAACGCTTGGCTCGGGTTCGAAGCCCTATTTCAAAGCTTTGCAATTATAATAAATCATGTGTTTTTCAGTATGCGACATGTTACTATCCCCAAATTAGAGAGATAATCAGGCCACCCAAGCTATACTTTACTCCCCAGAAAAGGAACCAAAACAAAGCTCAAGAATAGTTAATTTGTTTTTTTACTAACAGAGCACAAACAGTGTTTTTCTAATTCCTACCGAAAGAACTATGGAGGATTTTCGGACTGAGACAAGATTTTAGTGGCAGGCTGGCAGTACAATGAAACTGTCAAAATTAAAGTCCTGCTCTTGTATGATGATCTGGGCCCTCTGTACTTTATTTTTACATAACGTTCTCCAAGTGTTTAACAGTACAAAGGGAAAGGGTCTTTTCTAATGGATATACCCGTTTGATTATTGTCGCCTTTGAGAAGCTAACACATGTCGGAATACACCCATAAAAATTACTTCTGGATTCCGACAGATCCAAATCCCAACAAAGTCCAGCTCAGTCACTTGACTAGCCCTTGAGTCAACGGCGCTGTGATAGAAATCGACAGATATCACCCAACATGGTCAAAATGTTTTTCTCAATTAATCAACTTGGCAGAGATTTTTTTGTAATCCTCACCCCAGGTATACACAACGAGTCTGTAAACTCCCACTGGCCAGACCCCAACCACTGCCAAGTTAAAATTCTTGAAAGATCAATCAGGCATGACCGGGAACTGACCGGTGATGAGAATCTCCTCGTGGTGACAACACCCTTCGTTTTTGGGCGTTGCTGCCCCGAGGGCTAGACAGGCAGCACGAGTGAAAACTTGCTGCCGTTTCCATCGCAGAGCGGCACCAGACAACCATCAGATATGGCAGACATCTACTCTTGGTTCCCTGGCGCATGCCTCAGAGGTACATTCCGCCAAACAGCCGTGCGGGCTTCATGTTTCATTGTTGAGGGATGAAAGGTACACCGTAAAATTGGTCCCTCCGGTAAATACGAGAAGGCTCCATTCTTTCCGAATATTCTAGTGCTCATTAACCCCAAAGTTTGGTGATTGTTTCTACAAATTTGCAAGAGTTTTAACTACTCGCCACTGTTACAGGTTCAATCTACTCGGTCTAGCCATAAAATATATTTCATTTGCCACATTTCACTTGTATATGAGACATTTAACACTAATTGTTGACTGGTGTGATGATATGATATTTTGAACCCTCGAGGGATAGCGCCCTCGGGGCATAGCGCCCCGAGCCGAAGCCAAAAGCGCTACAAAACCTAAATAAAACACTTTTACCTGATCAGTGAATTGCAGATTATATGATATGAAGTATTCATGCAAAAGCACGTTACAGCCGCACTACAGAAAGAGCACAGCCGCGCAGGAGCTCACTTGTGACTTACGCACGGTTGAATGCTGATATAGTGCACATAATATATTTCGTAAATACCCTTTTCTTATTTAGATTTCAGTGGAATAATGTTTTCCACAGGTGCGTAGCAATTTAATTAAAATAACAATTACAAAATTAAAGAATATGCAAAAAGTAAAAGACATTATAAATAGAAATTAGAAACATTTGGGGAGTGCATACAACACATCGATTTGAAAAGAAACCTGGACCAGTCGATCAAAAGACCGAACATTAAACAACCAACAACAATAAATAAGCAGGAGATTTGGTTCTGGATTTATTCTTACGTGTTACACTAGTAATGTTTAAAGTCTCGTTTCTTTCAAAATAAAGCTTTGGATAAGAACATAAATGTGGTACATTAAGCTCAGCCAAATAATTTGGGGTGATTTTAAAAGATCAGTGCACTGTCAAATTTCCTAGAGCGACGACACTCTGCTTTCGTACCTTGATTAATGACCTTGATTACTTGGTTACAGAATGCACACATAGGGGGCCTACATTCCATACCAACCGGTATATACCAACCATGCTTCGTGTATTTTTGTCTAAGTTGGTAGGGAAGGGTCCCTCGGTGTTTAAAGGCATAATCGAAAAGAAAACAAGCTCTTACTGCTAAACGGGTATATTTTCCAGTGGCGTTTCCAGCAGGAGGGGTAGGGGGGCCTCACAAGTTATTTATTTATAGAAACAGCATTTAGAAAGAGGGGGTGGGGTGCTTGAAAAATGTTTTCCTGCATGAAAACAATTTGGAGAGTGTTTCTGGAAAAATTCCCTTTTGCACCCCGCCTCAAAGACAAAAGGGAACAACCTATCCAAAGGACAGAAACACTGATTCGACTGTTAGTGAAAGATAGGAATGTATAAATTCGTTTTGCTTTGTGTAGGATGACTTATTTTTTGCATGAAATGGAAAATGTATTTTCATTTCCCTATTTAAAGACTTATTTGGCGCATAAAATTGTCTAGTGCCTAATGTTAAAGGGCTGGCAAAGGATTGGACAAGATATAATTTTACCTATTTAGGGTTTTAGACCTATGTTAAACAGGGAACATACTTTACTGATAAACAATAGTAAAGTAATCATATTTAAAGAAAAATCAACAGATAAAACCAGCAAAATAAAAAAAATACCGCCATGTGACAACTGTGAATGAAATTTACATAAAAGTGATCGCAAAACGTAGAAATGTTTCATCTGCAGTACCTTTGGTAATTTAATAGCCTTTTACAAAACAGTACTGCAAATGTGTGATAATGTTCGAATAAAGTGCAAACATGATTAAAGGTAAAATTAAACACTGGATATAATTTTGAGATGAATTTGACGTGACTGTTCTTAAATTGGGATGGTAAAATTTACTGCGTCGTATTTTGTATGTCTTACC